CCATCCCCGCCTCTTCGACCTGTCTGTTTCCTCTCCACCTATCCTCTCCTCTGTCCATCTTCTATCCGCCTCCCCCTCTCTCCCTATTTATTTCAGAACCCCCTTCCCCTCCCCCATTTCTGATGAAGGGTCTAGGCCCAAAACGTCAGCCTTTCTGCTCCTATGATGCTGCTTGGCCTGCTGTGTGCATCCAGCTCTGCACCTTGTTGTCTAGGATTCTCCAGCATCTGCAGTTCCTACTACCTCTGCACTTTCTGTTCAGTCAGTGGGAAGACCTCACCCCCTCTACAGCTCATGCTTCACAACACCTGCATTTCCATCCAATTCCATTATACTCAGTCCCTCCCTTTGTCTCATTGCAGGAGGAAATGTCCCATCTCTGGACTGATGTCTCCACAAAACTTGAACTGAGTTACCTATAATCCTACAGAACTGGCTGTGGTCCAAACCCTGGATTGCAAGGGAATGTATCCGTAAACTCTGGCGGGACTAAACATCTGACTGACCTCTGACTGGCTGTAGTGTTATCCTGTAAAAGACAATAGTTCCTGTTTACCTCACTATAGTCTGTTCCCCTTTGACCTTCACACATGGCCACTTGCTTAAAGCACATGCAGTATGCTTGTCTAATAAACTGCTGATGCATGCTGCCGTTGTGATGTGGCCAGGGTGCTGAACAGTGAAATGTCCATCCCTTGACTGTTTAGTGCCTCTCTGACTGTGTTAAAAAGCAATGCAAGCCACAAAGGCTGACAACCTGTAAGTCAATGCTGATGTCAGCTAGTGTACACTAAGAAAGCATTGTGAAATAGACAGAGGCTGGAGGCCTCAAAGTCAATGTATAATGAGTGAAGACTAAGAAAGCAAGCCAGGAGCCATAAGATGCATCCTGTGCATCCCTGTGTGCAAAGTGACTCAGCTGAATCATGCCATTCCTAGGTGTTCCTGAGCTCCAAATTAAAGTGTTGAAGGGCAGTGGTGTATGAGTTGACTTGAGACCCAGGTATGGAGATGTGGTGAAATTGGACATTTGCCAATGCTTACTTGAGTGTGTGAATGGTAACGGAGGATGATGACCAATGAGCATGAGTAGTTGGGTGATGGCTAGGACAAGCATTTAGTAACTGCAGTTACCAGGTACCTGCTCTGATTTACATGTTGGAAATTTACAGTGTCTGGTTTCTCAGGGAAGGAAAGGAGGTTTGGAAGTTTCATATGAATAAGGTGATTTGGGGCTTTAATGAGTTGTTGATACATAGAAATAAGGTAGTTACTGCTCAAAAGCAACATTATGAAATCACCATTTAGGGCTTGAGGCAAAAAAAATCAGAATATCTTTCATTGATGTTGACATTCTGCTTTTATCTTTCTCTCGGCATTTTCTCACCTTTCTTGCCATTGCTTATGCCACGTCAGGAAGGGGAAAATTCTACCCTTACTGTAAACACCTCAATCTTCTCTACTCAAGAGAACATAAACCTATCCATGCAAACTATCCTCATTCTCTATCTATTTAGGGACTCTGACCTCCACTTGTTCCAAGATCAATAGATCCTTTGTAACCAGAACTGTAGGATTCCATGTGTAGGTTAATCAGGGTTTTATGCAAGAATTTTTTTTAATGAGATGTGAATACTGATGGCAAGAACAGCATTTGTTGTCTGTCCTGTGAGAAAGTGGTGGTCACCTTCTTTTTAACTGCTACAGTCCCTCTGTTGAAGGTACACTGACAGTGCTGTTAGGAACGGAATGTTTTTGACCAAGCGATGATGCAGGACTAGACCTCAAGTCAGTTCCAAGCTCCAAGTCAGGTGTTGCTGCTCCCGTGTGTCTACTACTCTTGTCTTTCTGGCTGGTAGAGGTCACGTTTTCGGAAGCTCCTATCAAATAAGGCTTCATGAGTGATATATTGCTGCTACTGTAGCCTGGTGCCAGAGAGGGTGAATGGTTAAGATAGTTGATTAGATGGCTGATCAAATGGATCCTTGATGGCAGAGAGCTATTTGAGTGTCATTGGAGGTGCACACATCAGGCAATTGGAGAGCATTCCATCATGTTGTTCTTTTTGGGAGAAAAAATGTGCATGAGTATAGGCAATGAAGTGACAGAATGAAGTAACTCCATTGAAAGTGCAGGGGAGGTGATTAGGTTCACCATTCGGTTATGGTCATAATGGGGTGCAAATGTTACTTGCTACATATCAGTCCAAGCCTGAATGTTTCCAGGTCTTGCTGCAGGTGATACAGCTCCAGTATTTGAGGAGTTGGGAATGGTAATGAACACCTTGCAATCATCAGTGAGCATCCCCACTTCTGACCTGATGATGGAGGGAAGGCCATTGATGAAGGAACTGAATATTCCTGGGCATAGGACACTATGAACTCTTGCAGTAATATCTGGGGGCTGAGATGGTCAGCCTCCAGCACTACCGCCATCTTCCTTTGTGCTAGGTCTGGCTCAAACCAGTGAAGAGTTTTCTCTGATTTCCATTGACTTCAATTTTTCTAAGGCTCCTTTATGCTACACAGAATCAAATGATGCCTTGCTGTCAAGGGCAGTCACTGCCTTTTCTCCTCTGGAATAAATCTCTTTTGTCCATGTTGAGACCCAGGCTGTAATGAGGGCTGGAGCTGTCTGACCCTGTCAGAAACCAAACTGAATACCGGTGAGCACCATCAATGACACCTTTCAGCATTTGCTGATCATTGAAAGGAAACTGATGGGGCAGTTATTGGCTGGATTTGATTTGTCCTGGGTTTTGTGGTTACGAAATCCATAGGCAATTTTCCATATTAAAATTCCACCCAGACATATCCCCCTACCCTATCCCCATAACACTGCATTTACCATAGCTAATGCATCTAGTCTGCACATCTTTGGACTGTGGGAGGAAACCCATGCTGCCAAGGAGAGAATGTGCAAACTCCGTACAGAGGCTGGAATCGAATCTGGGTCCCTGACATTGTGAGGCAGCAGTGTTAACCACCGAGCCACTATGCCCGTCCAGGCTTTTAGCAGTAGTGGAAATTGTCAGGGCCCAATTTTACTTGAACATCCAATCGCTTTTTACTCCAGATCTAAAGGCTAACATTTTATGAACATTTTCACTGACTGTCTCTTTGACTTTTCCTCACACCTAGGCAGACACGTCCTGCTGATTGGTGGTATTTCAATTTATCTTTTGAGAAGCCAGCATGCTAGGGGAATCACAAGGAAATTGCCATTCTGTACTATATTTTGGCATTTTGTTTAATTGCATTGTGCATCTCTTCCAAGGTTCAAATAATTTCCTTTCAATGTATGCCAAAGGCAAAATCTTCCTAGAAGCATAATGAAAATGTAGAAGGCAAGATTTCAATTGCATAACACCACTATGCAAAATGGCTTTAAAATTTAAAGTAATATTTATCAATAACATTTCAGCTAATTGTCACTAGATTGTTTTCTTTCAATGAACATATCTACAGGCTTAAGGTCTTTGACAGAGGTATATTACTTTTTCTCATTATTTGCATTCAAAATAGTCATGAAATAGTAGAAAAATAAAAGGGAAATCTTTAAAGACAAAAATAGTTTGCAATCATTTTACAATGTAACAGGATATAATATCATGCAATCAACGTTTAAAATAGCGTTGGCTCCTGTCTGAACTGTGCTTTCCTAAGGTAGTACATGCTGCCAAGGAACTGCTCACAATATCTCACATGGTCTTTTTATGTTGCCAGGAAAGAGGAACAGTGAGATACTGCACCAACCTTGACATTGTTTCATTGCAGCTACACATCAGAAAACTTTTGAGTTTAGCATGAAGATCATTTATAGAACGTGATTCAATTTTAGACATCTCACACTGTCCCACCCCATAATATTGGACTGCACCAGTCTTAATATAAAGCCAATAATCGTAACTACTCATGTGATGTGCAAGAATTTCTGTATTTGTTAGATTGGTAACAAGTTGGATCATTGAGCTGGGGTAGAACATCCAGAAACATTGTACTTCCCAAAAAGGCAAGCAAGAATCTTCACTCAGCTTTCATAGAAAGAATGGTTTGACTACATCACTGAATTCTCATAAAAATTGATAGAAGAAGTCAGAGAGAAACTAAGCTAGGTTTATTCGACAATCACTGCTTTCCAACAAGCAATAAATAATGGTACTAATTTATCTTTCAATATCTAGGATATGTTGAGGAGGTGTGGTGCTGAAAATAGATTGTGTTGGTCTGCCATATTTTGATGCTCAGCTTATTTACATGTTGTCCGGTTTTTGTGAGAACATTTCGTATAAATGAAGCGCTTGACTTCTGCTCACCAATATTTGATTTGTTTTGGTGTTTTAAAACATTTTAGGTATCAAGTGGTATGTTTTCCAAACAGTACAAATGTTTAGCTGCACTCCAACAACATTCCTCCCTGTGCATTTTCTAGATAGGTGTTAGCCTATTTAAAGTAAAATGCAAATACCTGTACAAATGGCATTTTGGAGAATAAAACGTAAATATGTTTAGCATATAAGAATATATTAGTTCTAAAATAATCCTCTAAAATGATGAGTTGTATTTTGAAAAAAAACTTCATAGTCGATGAAATGCTGAAATTGTGCTTTGCTAACATTCTAACATAATTGCTAACATAATTGATTGATAGCTCATTACAAGTATATGTCCTTCTTCTATTGCCCTAATCACACTGATACATGAAAGTTTTAATGTCCATGTATTTAATGGATAATATACAGACTACAGAATCCCACAAAAAAAATATTGTGCTCATGAGTGTCACATGGATACTAGAGCAATAGTTTATCATTGAATTTATCTGTTGAGATATTAACTGACATAGAATATCTTACATACAGGTTGCAAACATTTTAAAATGTTATTATCGTATATGAACTAGATAGAGATACTCCGGGCAGACATTATACTACACAAATCTAAGTGTAGATTTGCAGCAATGAAAAAAGTTTCCTTTAGCAGGTCACAGTGATTCCCTACCTGTGTTGCCCAGAGCTGAAGTACCATTGCTCGTTCCTGCATATTATGATTCATGCCCAGTTCCTGTAGATGATTGCAGTAGCTTTCAAGCCAACTGCTTCTGTTCACTTTTGTCTTTAGATTCTCCACTGACAACAACTGCCATAGATATTTCTTTACCAAGGCAGCCTCATTCTTTTCATCTGTCAAAATTAAAACAAACATTTTATTTGCCAACCTGCCATAATTTATGTTGATCAAAGATGCTTTGAAAATATGAAACAGATACAAAGGGTAAACATTAAAAGCAACATATACAGTTTGTTAATGATTACTCACCAGCAGATAACATGGAGCGAGCTAATTTTATCAAGAGTTGGTCTAGTTTCTTATACATCTTGTAGATTTGAGCTGACTGAATTCTATCCTTAACTTTTGATTCTTGTTCATCAGTTTGAGCAGCCTCATTTCCAAACAGCGTAAGATATCCTGCCCTAATTAAACAATGGGAATGAACATTATATCTGCTAGTCAAATTTTCAGGGACTGATTGTTGCCCGAATGATAGAAAATAAACATCTTTTCTGAAATTATTTAAAATCTGCTTTGCAATTCATCAAGGCCGTTTCATTTTAAGTGGCTTTGCCCATATACAAATATGTATATACTTACTTCCTGTTATTCAAAAATGCAAATCCATCCTCACAGGCTATAATGGAGGGATTTATTTTCTGATCAGTGACATTCACAGATAGTGGGAAATTATTTAGAAACTCAGTCCATCATGTGTCATAATTGAGAGGTAACGTAAATTGATAGATAAAACTGATATTGAAAAGGAACAAAAGTCTTTTTGCAATGTTAAACTCATTGCTAATGATATGTGGACTAGCTCATTCACAGTTTTCCATGATTTTCACTGTCTTAACCTCATTTATAGAAACCAGGTCTTTTGGAGAGCGACATTTAATCCAACTAGGGAATCGGCATTTAATTGGAGATGCTACAAATACTACAATGTGACATTATCAGTTCAGTGATGGTTTTTAGGACAAGGTTTGTCATTATCCAATTATTTTCTGGATTCTTGAAAACAGTATTGGCATAGTTATTTTCCGTTCAGCATTTATAATTTACAATAGGAGCCTGCAGTGGGAACCTCACTAATTGTGTATCATTTGAGAAATGAAAAAAGAGATGTCAGACAGGTGAGTTTACATTTGCGACTGTCTGTTGCTATTTGCAATCTGTATCAAAGGCAAAGACATATATACCTTCGTATCTCTGAGGAAATCTATTTTGCCTGTCATTTGAGAAGCAGTAACAACAGCAGCACAAACAGAAATGCTAGAAAAACTCAGCTGGTCTGGCAGTAATTATGAAGGAAAAACAGAGTTAACATTTGGGTCCAGTGACCCTTCTTCAGAACTGTGTTCAGTTCTAACACATTGTGGGATTGGGAGCCCCGTTTGACTCCAATGTTGGAGTTCCAAACCAGAACACAAAATTCTACTGCTACAGTGTGACATCTCAGGTAAGTATGATTTCAGTGGATGCTGGAATATGATTTTAATTAACTTCTCCTTGTAGATTGCCTGTGATGCTACTTATATTAGATTGGATACTATGCGTTTCTATAACCACACAAGTGAAATACATTATTTTGATACTAAGCTGGCCTTGCGTTGGAGGTTTTGAAGTATTTAATTGGTTATTCAGTGTTTTGTGATGTTCCAAGGTTGTGTAGTATCTTATATAAATGCAAATCCGCTATTAATTATTTTTCAGTGTAGATCCAGATTAAATTTAGAATGTTCCTGGAGTCTATGATTCAACCACTCATTCTTTTGAACCAATAATCCTTCAGTGTGCCTGTCATAATTCATTTAAAGTTCTTCTGATTAAGGATTCCGATTAGATATACTTTATTCTGTAAAACTCAATAACACATCAGCTGGTGTATTTGACTCATATTTTTACTATATAATTTTATATTCTGCTTTGTTTTTAAATGCCGTAATATTATCACATTGATATTTATGGATGAACAGTAAAATATATCCTACTCAAGGCCCAATGTTAAAATATGAAAGCTATTTTTAACAAAAGACCAGTCTAATTTGTCCAAGCATATACTCTCCTAGAAATAATTTTGACATGAAAAATAGTTTTCACAGTAAACTCTTAATATAGACATCAGATTAAAATGTACAATAACACAGAAATCTCATTATAACAATTACCTGAACATAACATCAAAACAGAAGTTGAATAACGCTTCTTTCTTCCAGACATTCTTTGTTCCATTTTCATCAATCAGTAAAATTGTTTTAAGATTAGACAGAAATGCCTGTGTCAATGATGAAAGACTTTTCCCTTGTAACTGCCTAACATAAATAAAAATAATCAACATTAGTGTACATAAAATGTATGATATATTCATCATTTCCAGATTCCGGAATAAGCATTGACTCAATAAATAAATAAATCAACTATACATTTCTGGGACTATAATACCTATTAAATACTATAAATGAACACTTTTTTGTTTAAAGTTTATTTAAAAGAATTGATGTAGGGCTAGAAATAGCCAAGGGGAATTTTAATAATGAGCTGTGGATGCACTGTTATCTTTCTTCTAACTATCATCCTTCTTATAATTTTTATAAAACAATATTTTGCTGATTAAAACTTGCTGACAGTAATGCCAATACATTATTGTTATTGTAAGGTACAATATATTAAATCTGGAAGCTCTGAGGTTTTGTTTCATCCTGATGCAATTCGAGGAGCTCCAGAGCAAAGCAGAAAGAGACTCCTTCTGGAGAAATAATCTCTTCCAATTTAATGTAAATGTCTTGAATGTCTCCTTAATATCCAATTTATGTTACATATGTGTAATATTGGAGCAAAGTCAAAACTTCTTCAGAACTTACTTTTAGCATTCTTTACATCAAAAATCCCTGTTTACCTCCGTGGATATCTTGCCATCAAATAAAGGAGATGAAAACAGTTGTTTTCAGCATGTAAAGAACAAGATTTGCCATCTTGACAAATTTTCGGAACATTTCTAAAAGCTGGCCTGTAGAGGTAGCGTTACCTTTTAAACAGGATTAGCTAAATTTGTGTGGTGCTAAATATGCAACAGAATGAAATGTGAAAAAACCTCAGAGTGTTAAAAATAGCTACAGATACTGCAAATATTTTAGGGGGACAGATAATCAGAGTAGACTTCAAGTGTTTTTGAAATTTAAATCTGAAAATCAATAGCAAGCAAAGTAAGCACCTTTAATTACACAAGTCTTACTTAGATTTATTTGTTATTTTATACCTTAATATTTCCTTGTAGGATATAATAAAGAACGTTAATTGAATAATTGCTGTGTCTTTAAGAAGCAATCAATGTTTGCTCCAAATAGAACTCAGAAGCTTATTACACTCAGACTGAAATCAACTAGGCTGTCAAATGTTCCAAACCTACATTGTTTGAATCACAGAATATTCTTTGGTTTCTTGCTGACAGAACAAGGACAATGTGATCTTAACAACTATGAAGCTACGGTAAACAATAAATAATTTTATAATGGGTTTTGCCAATCAAATTGACCAGATTTTCAGTCAGTGTCTATGCAAAGTGGTTTTCAGACTCCCAGAATGGTCTTGATGGGTCTGAATTTACTGTGCATGCCTACTTTTAATGCCCACTTTTAAGTGGCTTCATGAGGAGCTAATATTTGAGTAGAAGTGATAATTTTCCCTTTCTGCTGAACTTCTCAGGAATATAGTAAATTCCTTAAAGGAACAAATTGTATATCTATGCACCACAAAGAAACATTCACCCCAATAACTAGCCAGAGGCATATTCAGGATTTTTAACTATGCTGTCCCCATGGGAAGCCAGAGATAGAAACCCAACCAATTGTCACAGGCAAAATTGACATAATTATTGCCATGATCCACTTGAGAAAGTGTGCTAACACTTGAGCCCTACTACTCCCGGGGGCATCACAAATATTACAGATTTAATCAACTTACTCAAAGTCTCCAATTTTCCTAACAAAAACCAAAAGAACTGTGGATTCTGTAAATCAGAAACAAAAACTGAAATTTTTGGAAGAGCTCAGCAGATCTGAGGAAATGAGCAAGGATCACTCAACTGAAACATTAATTCTGATTTCTCTCCACAGATGCTGCCAGACCTGCTGAGCTTTTCCAGCAATTTCTGTTTTGTCTCTAATTTTCCTGTCTAATGAAGCTGACCAGGTTTTTGTACATAAAAAGAAACTACTATTTCTCACAAATAATTCAGTTCTAACCACAAACAAACAAAACATGAATGATCAATTTACAACTCTACTAATATAAATTTTAACCTCTTCTAAACTCCTACACCTGTATGTAGACAGACACAGATGAACAAACAAACGCAGATGTTATAGATGGAATTTAAAAAAAGCGTTGGGGAACACAGATCAGTAGCACCAGTCTACAAGGTTCAATGAGAAGTCCTGTTCCTTACTGAAGGCACAGAGTGTTTGACACACAAGTTGTTCAGTCTCTCAGTTGCTAGTTATAGGCAACAGCTCACAGCAAATCGTTGATGAGAATAACCAGTTATTGTTCAATTCTTTTTCTTCCTTAGAAGGAGAGAGAGAGAGAGAGAGGGGTGCTGTCTGTTTGCAGTTTGCAGGCTTACTGTCTCTGCATTGTTGACAGGGAGGCTGTCCCGCTGTTCAGGAGCCAATAGGAGTGTTGTTGTCATGCTGATGACTCCTAGCCCACACAACTGGTCCTGGTTAAAAAAAAAACTAGTCCACAGTTTGTATCTGGGTAAACCTTTCTCTAAACACAAATCAATAGTGCTGTTGAATCTCAAGCATCTTCCGTCACTACTTGAACAAAGCAACAGTGTAAATACAACACATAAAGATTTCCAGTAACCTGTTTTCAAAGGTGCAACATCTCCTTCCATTGTCCTTGATTTAAAGCAATCCTTTCCATATTTTGGTCCTCAATCCAAAATAAAGCAAATTAAAAAAATGTTATCTGTACACTGCAGAATCTGACACATGCCCCTTCAATTATATTTATGAAAAATGGACTGGAAATTCATGGATATCCCTTCAGTAATATTTCAGGTGGATCCAGAAGAAAAGAATCTCAAGGCAATGGTGCCTTTAACAGACACTGGTGATGTGTGACCAGATCATCAGCAGACAGCAAGTCTTCTTCAAGAGTCTACAGATGTTTGCAACAACCTGACATGACAATCTCAGTCTCTGGACCCAATGTTTCTCAATCAGGTCAAAGAAGATGAGCCTCTGCCTGTGCACCCAACTACTTGAGAAGCATTTGCAATTTCAACTTCTATGCTCCTTCTCTCCTTTGCTTATACCTACAGGTTTCTCCATGGCTGGGTGTTACTGCTGCCAATGGTCATCACGCTTTTTGCCCGAGATGCCGGCCTTGGCACCACCTATCCTGATCTTGACCCTCATTACATCCAAAAGTGCACAAATTTAGTCTCTCACCAAGTACTCTCAAAGAACCATTTCTCAGTTGGAGGTAACTAAGAACTGTGACTACTGCAAATGCATTTGTTGGCCTCTGAGAGCCTAACATTTACTTAGTCCCATGAAGTTGTGTGTAATTTTCTAACCTTAATGCCAATGGTAAATTTCAGGAAGAATAAAAATCCTATGCAGGTTATGTTATATTTAAATCCCTCTGAAAATCCTTTTTGAAACTGTTATATTTAAATATTATCAGCAATACCCACCTGGCAGATAAGGGAATATATAGATGTTGAGAAATCTGGAAATTGATGTGTTGGAGCAGCTTTGGTCACACAACATTTTCCTTGACTTTAATTATCCTCCTGTTCATTATTACTATTTCCCCCACTTTTGTTAATAATCTCCTTATAAATTAGGAGGGACACACTGTCAGAATTTCTCCAATGATAGAATAAGCATTACTGAATATCCACCTCAAGGTTTCAAGTTTAACACTCTGGCTCTCATGCTAACTGATCTTCTATTTAACTTTAAATGAATGTTTATGCTCTCCTGAACTTCCATATCAACATACATGTTCCATGCTATGAATCAGTATTACAGAGAATCTCATTTATCTTCTACACACTCTAGATATTATTATGGATTAAAGTTCCCCTTGTATGTCAAAGCTGCTGCCCTACTGAACAAAAGTGTGAGTTGCATTTTGATGCAACTTATGGAAAGACACATCAAAATCAAATAATGGTCTATGGGCTAACAAGGGAAACATGACATGTGAATCCATAGCTCATTAACTCCATCATTTGACTGAAGAGGGATAGTGAAGAGAAACTTCAAAGGCCTTGGCAGCACATAATCAGCTTATTTAAGAAGTATTGATCTGTGCCAACAGTGTTGTGCAATCCTATTCACTGAACTTCCTGACACATTTATATATGTTAAAATCCCATCATTTTAGAAAAGATAATCTTCGGCTCTATGTTTTAATCATTCACATAACAGAATTGGAAAGAACGTCACACATAAACCTATCCATGAGATGCCTTTATTCAATTTTAGCTGCTTTATTTTTCTACCTTAATATCTTCAAATTATATTGTTAGGAATGAACATAAGAATGTTTAATAAACATAGATAACACAGTGTGGAGCTGGAGGAACACAGCGGGCCAGGCAGCATCAGAGGAGTAGGAAAGTTGATATTTCGGGTGTTCCTCCAACTCCACACTGTGTTATCTCTGACTCCAGCATCGGCAGTTCTTACTATCTCTGTTTAATAAATATGACTGAAACTATTTAAAATAAATGGAATTATGTCTCCAGCATCTCTAATATCACATAACGCAGCTTTTTAAAAGGCATTGTGCTTTGCACTCATTTAAATCAATGACCAGATAATTGCTGGAGTTGTGAGTTAGACATGCTGATTTCTGTTCCAAGTTTTTTGATCTGTGCTCCTGCTGATTAAGACTCCATGCTATAATGAAGTCTTTGAAACTTTATTCCTGTTCTTTGAAGGAGCGGATAACCAACAAACAAGTTTTCTTAACGTGAAGTATTTACACAATGATTAACTCTCTAATGGTCAGTTGAAGTTTAAATGCCTACAATGATGGCTGTGGAAAGTTATATTTTGTGGGTGTGTCAAGGTGTTATCAATGTCATGAGGTCAGTAAAGTTAATTCACAAGAGTGTCAAGAAATAGTTCTATGCCTAAGTGAAAGAAACTTCAACAAATATTTAACTGCAAAAATACTGCTTAATTTCTCCCTGCAAACTCAGTCGCAAATTTCAATTACATTTTAATGAGCTGCATGTTTCTATGTAACTATAAATAATCATTTACATTGCAAATCCTTTTGTATTTTTCACTCATTTGAATTAAATGGAACTCATTTCCACATGATAGTCATTTAGACTGACACATTCTTTGGTTGAAATTAGAATGGTCTAATTATTATGTCATTGATACTTTCTTGAAATGTTTATAATGAATATTCTGTGATACTTACATTTTCAGCAACACTTTTTCTTTGTTGTGATCATAGTCAGGAAACTGAAGGTTAAAGATTCTGTCCATTAAAATTGCTGAATATTTTGTGAAGTTCAGTTTTGTATCGGATTCTGTCACAACTGGACTGAATGAATGAGGATCAAGTAAAACAGTTACATATCGTCCTGCTAATTGGACCTAAGTGTAAACAAAAATTAAAAAAAACACTACTTTAGCAAGTGCAAATTGTGGAATTCCCCATAATGAAACTCACACAGTTTGGTCATGCAAATCTATGTTTTGTTAAAATAGCAGGTCAGTTAGCTCAATCAGCTGGAAAATGCAAAGGTTAGATTGAATACCTGGATGCTTCTAAAATGTGCTTTTCCCCATGCAGTCTTTTGTTTCCAAAGGAAAAGAGATATATTTGAAAATGTTTGCTGAAGTCACACTGTTTAAAGTAATTATAGATCTGTGACAATTATTTATAATTTATATTGGCTCAAGAGACCTAGAGACGTTTGAGAAAGATGTGTTTTTTTTTCTATTCTCATAGCTAGTTAGTCCTGAAAAGATTGCCAGCCTGTTGCCAAAGGCTATATTTGAGGGGCACCATTCCACATCGATGATGGCTGATCAGAAGACTCTCATGTTCTTACACCTGCCAGAGGTGTACTGGAAGGATTTACAGGTTGAAAATCAACCTGTTTGGCTAATTATGAACACATATTTGAAGTAGAACATGAGCCATGAGTTTCTGGCTCAGAGGGCGGGATGCTACTCACTGTGCCACAAGACCTCCCGTTAATTATATATTGATAATTAACTTTCAACACAAGTTTCTGTCTCTAAAGTTTCACTTCATGTTGCTATGTTTTTGTTCACTTTTGAGTCACCTTCCCACTTTGAATTCCTGTACCACATTTCCAATAGAAACTGCCTTTGTAAATTGCCACACTGCACTTACATAATCAAGTTGATAATGAAATTGCAGCAAGTCAGTTTTGCAACTCTTTGTTTATCAGACTGCACAATAGTAAAACGCCTATGGTTTATCCATCAAACTCTATGCTATATGACTCAATGACACTATTTCAGTTTTCACCAAGCTATTAGAACTTTATTCAAATAAATAATACATTAAAAAATCTAAAGCGTTACGTACACAAGATTGGGACAGACTACGTTAGTTTGAAATGAGAACTGATTTACACATTAGGCATTGTTCCAATCACTCAGTTAAAAGATCTCAATTGGTCCCAATGATATAATCAGGCCCTGATTTTCATCTAAGAATGAGACCCGAGTCGGCATCAGGTGGGTGACTCAGCTGGTTAAAGAAGGGAGCAGTTAAGATGGTAATTGATTAGGCAACATGTCTTTGGCAGTGTGTTAATGTTGAGGGCTGCTCAGTTTATGTTGGGCAAGCTTTAGTGGGAGCTTATAGATATAAATATTTGGCAATTATCAAAGTAATCAAACAGTGTAGTGAAACTGGGTATGCATTTCCTCATAACCGTAAATGTTCAACAGGGCTTAGGCCATTGTTTAAGGCACATGATTTTTTTCAATTGCATAAGCAGAGAAATAATTAATAGCAATGTCAGCATTTGAAACTTCGATGTGCTTTTTTTGACATTACTTTGCCCATGATTGTAATATTGCTGAAAAACGAGACATATCACTGAAACTATTGCAATTCAAACGTCATCTCATTTCAAATAAAATGTTAAACATCTATTATATTAATATTCCAGTTTAAAAAGTTTTCTTTCCTTTGATTTTGTTTTAAAACAAATATGTTTTAATCTAATATGTTTGATGATACTCCAGTCTTTTTACTTGGAACAAATGTATTTTGACATGAATGAATCAGAAAAAAGAATTCGGGCTGTAGTTTGCCTAGTTTTGTAATGTTCTCATGCTACAAAGAAATGGAGACAGCTCATTTATTATTATTAAGTCTATTTTCTAGAAGCATTTAACATGTCAAGCTAAGATGCTGAGAAGTATGTTCTGTTGGGGAGGAAAACATTAGATGAGAGAAAATGAAATTGCTATTTATATTTTAGTGAGTGCTAAAAGTCTAAGATGTAGGGTTGTGTTAGATGTCCTTCCCCCTTGCCAGGCATGTTTCTGTTGGGAGGCAGAAAAATGTGTCAAGTCGTTAGCTCACGGATTTCCTGAACGCTCCGGTCATATATCCCTGCTGCTGTTGGGACTGTGAAAGCTGCTGCTGGGACTGCGAAAGCTGCTGCTGGGACTGCAAAAGCTGCTGCTGGGACTGCTAAAGCTGCTGCTGGGACTGCGAAAGCTGCTGCTGGGACTGCTAAAGCTGCTGGGCAATTTGAATGCTGGCAGCTCGACTGCAGAACCTCCTCCAACTGAAGGGTGGAAGTCTCATTGTTAACTCCTGAGCACATCCAGGGAATGTTAGTGCTGAAGAGTGACCTTGTTTAACACTGATTGGCTTGGAACTGACAATTATCGGGGCTGGGTGTTGGGTAGGGTGGATGAGCTGTACACCTCCTGTAAAATTCAGCCCTAGTGTGGCTCAGGGCTAGTAGGTGAAAGTGACATGGATAATAAATGCAGTTACCTACACACCACCACTTAATCCAGAAGAAAGTTTAAGGACCTCATCAGGCCATGCAATGATGGGAGTAAACAGCTATAACTTGTAAATAAATACTATCAACTGTCAAGGTAGCTGAATGCATTTTATACCATCTTCCAGCTGAATGCATTTCTTTATCCAGGACTGTCTATGTTTTAACCCTATAAAACATTATACATGGCATGTAATTGCTTGTTGTGTGCACTAGTCATCACAACAGTTATCACCTGCACACAGCACTTGGGCTTTACAGTATATTATGGTCATTAAAGTCAATTTGGTTGTTTTACTAATTTTTTCCCAGTTCAAAATAATCATTAACGGGAGGGAGAAATCAGCGTCAATTGGCACGTTCATGAAATCAATGTCTTTATCTCCTTAGCAACAGGGAATGTTGTGCATTCTGAGGTTGGTTGTTATTGGAAAAGCTGGATATGGGTAAGTGGAAAAGCGTGTCTACTGAGGGTCCATTATTACAGTTTTCATTTCATCCCATTTCACCTTTTGGTAAATGTCTGTTAACTATATTATGAAATCTTAAGACTCTTCTGCTATAGAATGCAACATGTGAGTCCTTAAGAAAGCATTCTAATTTCTTCTTTGCTTTCCCTTATCTAGATGGCCTGTCAGAACAAGAACTGACCAATTAGCATCTGGTGTTACAAGCACTTAGCAGCATGAACCATTAGTCATTCTACGCTTCCCAAGTACCATACAAATATGTACACCCTGGGGGAGTTACAGAGTCCAGCAGACCAGACTGCACGAGGTGAGCTGCTTTTGGCATATAAGGCAGTTTGATAGTTAGCTAGATGACCAGGAATCATTGTGCTTCAGCTAAACAGAATATGAAGTTCATAGATTCTGCATTAAAAGAATACAAGCAGACCATCTTGGAGGTCATTATCAATGCACTGTAGATGAAATCTCAGGTGAAGGTTCTCTGAAAGATGATTGAACAATATTACAATCTGCTATGTGATTGTTCCAGGGGCATTTGAGAAGAAGTCACATGTTACGCACTCTAGGAACAGCCTTTGCCATGTTAGTGGATTTTCAGAGTCTTTTTATGTTTTTGGAAGCAGAGGCAGGAACAGTGTCAATACAGAACAAACCAGCATCTCATAAGTAGCCGTAAGCCTCTCGGGGAATTTGGTGCTGACTTAAGCTGGAAGTTCTAGGGATCTACCCAACTAGAATGAGGAAGAGAAAACTGGGTTGCTCAAGAAAGACCCAGTCTTGAGGGGCAATTCATATATTTCATCACTTATAGGGGGAAACTCTCATGACAGCCAATTATCGAGTTGTTGCTTGAAGATTAACAAATGGTAGTTGAAAGTCTGATGGGAAGCTCCTCTGCCTGAATTAACTTTGAGGTAGATCTTTAAATAGTCTCCCAACATCTACGCCAACTCAGGCAGGTGAACAACAATAGTATTGTAATGGGAGAAGCCAGCAAAGGAAGTTGTAAAATTGAATGACAGTCCACTGCTGCAAACAGCTGGTGATTGATCAAATGTATTCACATTATATAGAAAGTGTAACAATGAGAGGCACTGTTCGAGAAATAATATCATTCTGATACTGAAATAAACACAACTTATGAAACTACTCATAGACTTTCAAGTTGATTTTGACATAGTTGTTAACCCCTTCAATGTAAATGAGATAATTCTGAGGCGTGGTGACCTTCAGGTTAAACCACCACCAGTCATCCTTCTAATGGGAGAGTTACCTATGGGTCAATAGGACAATGGCAACTTTACCTTTAATACTGACATTAAAAAAAATGATAATTGTTAAATATAATTTTACTAATCTGTAATAATGGAAAAAAAAACCTTGAAATATTTTCTTTAAACTATCTAACATTGTTTTTGTACATTTTTGATGCATCACATTGCCAATCATCTTCTAACAATTTTTTCTCCACTCTTGTTACTTTACTGAATTAACTTTCAATACCACCAGATGGCAATAGAAGTTAGCTTTCTCTAAGAATTTTCAGCTTTCTTGAAGAACCTTCTATAAAACTGAACTGTAGCATTAACAGTATTTTATATAACTTAACACTTAACTGTTTTAGTGATGATGGGTAGTAGAATATTTTTTTAAATTTATCCGCCTCACTGGGCAGCATATTACATTTCAAGCATCACTTTCCTTTCATATAAGTGCAAATTGGATTCACTCTAACACTAACAGATCATTTAATAATAGTAAAAAATAATGTTCTTCATATTAGACTGGTACAAGTTATAGTATATCTGTTTACATTTTTACCAGAATTATTCTTTGTACTATAGCATAACTCTGCTATGTTGGTTAAGGATGTGGAAGAAGAAAAGATATGTAACCAAGACCAACTGAATGACAAATCTGCTCTTCCATTAGCATTGCAATCATTTTAATGCAATTCATTCATTGAGTGTGGGCATGGCCAGTATTTATTGCCCATTCCTAATTGCCCTTGAGAAGGTAAAAACCAAAAGAACTGCGGATGCTGTAAATCAGGAACAAAAACAAAGTTGCTGGAAAAGCTCAGCAGGTCTG